CTGGGCCCAGTTGTTCAATAACTTTAATCTGGAACATAGGGCTGGGCGATATGGCCTAAAAAAATCTTTGATTTTTTCACAACAAATCCGATTCATGATTTAAATCGTGTTTTATCCCCCCCTACTTAAAATCAATTTTCAGAAAAATATTTGCGGCCTGGTAGCACGTACCTGGGGTCCAAAACTTTCAGCAAGTGACTAAACCCTGGCTTTTCCACGGTAGCCTATATATGGGCACCATATCTCTTGCAATATACATCACGACTGCTCACTCTGAAAATCGATTTATCGCCAAGCCCTACTGGATCAGAATGATTTGGATTTGGAAATCCCATGTTATGCTATCCAGGATCAGGTAAATCATCTTACTTTTGATACCCTAATCCATATGCAAACTTTTCAAGATTACCAAGTCTGGATGATCAGTGCTCTAAATGGGACTACATATTACAGTGTAAGATGCTGGCGATGTAAAGAACAAGTAGAATAGCCAGTGTGGGGTCACTTTAAATGTTTTATTTGAAGAGACAGAAAACAGCATTTGTCAAGTTAAAATTAATTATCTGAAAGACTTTAATTTATATGAATATCTTTTAAGTCACTATCTGTCACTGAATGAGGTAACACTGGGGTAATGGAGCCTATGGCCCACTGATGAAAGCCCTTGCATTTACAGTATTTAGGAACTGGATGTCTGATTAAAACAAACTCAGCCAACTGTTTTGGGACTTAGTCTGCCAACACACACACTGCTATTGCTGCTTATCACCATAGATTCCACCAAAGAGAACGAAAGTGGGATCTTCATTATTGTAACCTTAAATCATTATTGTTTAATAACGACAGCTATTTGGGGGGTTATTATTTATTTTATTTATACCAAAAGGCTTAATAGGTACTCTAATGTCTACTTTATCTACTTTATCACTGTAACAGTTACACAAATCATGTGCAAAATCTAAATAAATGTATATATTTTACTAATTTGAAAGTGCTATTACATTTTGTTCCTGGAATCCAGCCTGAATCTAGTCTTCTGCTGGGATCAGGATAATCCAGATTTTTGGAACAAAGATAACCCAACCCGGAAATTTTTTGAACAACACAAACTGAAAGTTTGATCCAGAGAGGAACCAAGATTGGATTTCATGATCTCATCTGATTTAAGAAACCTTTTTTCTCCTAAACAACCCATTTTCAAGATTTGATGCAATCTATATCCAAAATCTGATCAGATTATTCTGAACAACTGAGCCCTGGATTTTTTTGACACAATGCTATTGTTGTTTCCAGAAAGATTTCCAGAAAGAGCTCCTTCACCTCCAGAAAACCCGTGAGAGGAATATTCCTGCGTTACAATTGAAATAAAAGGTCATGCTAAAGAGTTCCAGCAGAAGGCTACATAGATGACAAGGGGCAAAACCCTCTTTTATGAGCAACCAATCTTCTAATACAGCAGTAAACGTATGATGTTTCACTTAGAGCGACTTTAATCAGATAGTTTAGACTGTATCTTGTATCATATTTCAGCACTGAGGAAGAAAAACAGTGTAAAGCTGCAACAGTTTTCTCATACCCCTTTTCCACCAAATTAGCTCTCGTTTTTTAACTGGTTGCATTCAGGATTCTTGGAACCTTGGTGCTATCTAGCAAACCAGCCTGCATTTCCACCAATTTGGAGTAGAACCACTGTCAAAAATGATGCCTCATCAAATGAGTGCACAACAGAGGTAAACAGTAGAACCACAATTGCTGATTACATTAATTATCTGCAAGCTTTTGTTCTGTTATTACAGATATATTTTTTTATCCAAAAAACAAGCTTGGACCAACTGTTAATGAGACCACTGTTCACTCTTTTTTTCTGATGATTTCTTACTTCTCCATTGTTGCCTTCTCCATCCTCTCTACAATCTGTAGAACATGACACTCCCACTGATGATATCATTGTTCGCACTTCAGGTCAAGAAAAACCTGCTATCTTTTGGTTCCAGCTGAGAACCTACTTTTCGAGTTCTGAGCCAATTTATTTTTGGTCAGAATGCTCTAAATGGTTCAAAATACGTTTGATAACCAAAAACGGAACCAGTTCCATCCTGGTGGAAAAGGGGTATTAGAGACAGGAATAGGCAATAGTAAAATTACTTGAATGGCAATTGTGACACTGCAGATTGAGAGATTTTAGCAATCTTACAAATTAAGTTCAAGCTACACTGTGTGACATGGATCTAATAAACTTGAGTACGACATCAGGTTTGATATATGCAGACTGTACAATGAGAGCGCTTACTGAATCGCAGGCTACAAGGTATGATCCAATAGCTTCCCATACTGAGTATGCAAGGATTCTGCGTGGGTTATTACTTCTCCAACTGTGAAGCACAACATAGAGGGTCACATTATTAAATAAGCTAGAGTTTTGTGGGCACGACTCCCACACATTTCTTAAAGCATGTTTTGCCTCCATGGCAAGGTGCTATCCAGTTGTTTGTTTGGGTTTAGTGCCAGTGCGTCATTTCATACTGCATTTCTATTGGTTAGTTTGTAGACGTAGGTGTCACACAGTGGGATGGTCATCCCAAATTTCTAACACTGTCAGAATTTTATACCATGCTGTCTCATCCTTGAACCTCTCTAACTGTGCAACATGACTACTGTTTTAGAGCCATGACCAAAGATAAAGCCATGTTTTTTTCACGTTGGTCATCTTTCGTCTGGGATAGCCCAAAATTGCACAGTGAATACCAAGCTTTAAAGATGACAATATGTTTTCACCTTACATCGATACTATTGGATTGTTGATCAATAAATCGATATATTGATCCAGTCAATGTATCATAGCACCCCCTGATGGCACAAGACATCAATATGATGGTTGACGATATTTTAAATGACATTAGAATTTCATGTTGTGTGAGAGTTTACATTATGATGTTTTGCAGACAATGGGATTTGTTCACTGTACAAACTAAATGATGGCATTCTACATCAAGATGACTTTGGCATGAGATGTTTGAAAGACATCAGATATGGTTACTTAACAACACAACTTAAACCTACCAAAATATCAATGTCATCTGTCGTCAGTACTGGTCACCAGAAGTCACAACCTAAATTGAACCAAATATCAACACTGAAAGACGTTGGTTGCCAGCTGGGTATTGTCTATCTTTTTCAACTGTACTACATCTATGACCAAAACATCTAAAGCCCCCAGCCCTGATATTCACCCTGGTTTTGAATTAAATGAATTGTTTATCCTTTTTTCTGCATGCCTCCATTGTACAACTTCCTGCAATGTGGCTGCCACTAGCCTCAGCTTTTAAGCCAAACAAGCTAGGTGCTGACCACGCCCATATGACAATCGCAGTGGTAATGCACTCAGAATGTCCCTTACTTTATTATACTGCTACTTTGGGATTTAGTTATAAACACACTGGTGTTTCCTGTATATCTACTAACTCTTGAAGGCCTCTTTCACCCTCCTCAATTTTTTTTCCAATCTGATCCCCCATCCTCCAACTTTCTTATCTCTTCTCACTGATATGAAAGCACATCAGAGTCGCTAGGCAATGTAGGCAGAGAAAAACAGCTGAGATGTTGACGTCCAACTTGCTATTCTCTTGCTGTGAGCCGGTGAGGGCTTTGGTAATGAGAGCCTGGGGACCTGGCTGAGCCTGCTGTGTGTGTGTGTGTGTGTGTGTGTGTGTGTGTGTGTGTGTGTTTGTGTGTGTGTGTGTGTGTGCAAAAGAGAGAGAGAGAGAGAGAGAGAGAGAGAGA